AGTATAATCTTATCCATTAGACAGACTCAAACTTTTTAAAAATTAAACTACTTTCAAAAAAATAGAATTGTTTTTATTATTGTTGCAGAGATATATGTTACCGTTAAATTGCTCTAGAAGCTATTATTAATATTCCCAAAGTTATCTTCTTACTAATTATCTTCAGATGACATTGGTCAAATTAAGTAAGTTAATATAAATGTTTCTGAGCAGTTTTTAACCTCTTTGAGTTGTTACTGTTTATACCTATTCTTTTTAATGCACAACTTACAATTATTTATGGGCTGAAATGAAATTGGAGGTGATTGAAAAATTACTCCACCAGCTGTGATTTCCAAAAGCATATGATAGGTAGAGTTGAGGTTGGATGTTGACACAGGTATACGACAGTCACAACATTGAACAATACCGCAGATGCACTGAACAGTCGTAAAATTGCTTTTTGGTGGGGGTAGAGATAAATCATCTAATATTTCCGATCTATAATAGAAAAATGAGAGCAAAGAGTTAATAAAAATTTGTAATTTTTGAAAGTGTTTAAAAGAACTCCAGTTCATATACATTGTGTTTCACATTATTCTTCATTCACACTATGTTTCATACAATCATGCTGATTCATTCTACTTTAGAAAGTTAATCAACGTTGAACTATGCGAGCCAATGCCCTGTCTTTCCAGAATCCTGCTGGATCTTTCCCATTTCTTTTACTCACCCCTCCCTCCTTCTATCAGATTGTGAAACCCTATGACTGCTGCCCTGCCTATTGTCACCTCTCTGTACTTACTCTCCCAACCTTAGATCCTCATACACCTTATATTCCTTATCTTTCTATTTCTAAAATAATAGAATTTATACAGTACATATCCTTATGCAATGGAGTTAGTACACTCAGCATAATGCTCTCCAGCCCCTCCCAAGTTACATAGTAACTCAAAACCTACTACACAACTATTAACAACCAAAACAGAAAGCTACTAGTACATCAACAGGCATATAGACCAATGGAACAGAATAGAGAACCTAGACATTAATCTAATTATCTATGGCCAATTGATATTAGTCAAGGAAACAAAACATATCAAATACTGAAATGGCAGCCTCTTCAATAAATTGTGTGGGCAAAACTGGGCTACTACCAGCAGAAAGCTGAAGCAGGATGCACACCTCTCACCATATGCAAAAATAAAATCAAGTTTGGTAAGAGAGCTAGGAGTAAAGCCCAAATCCATACAGGTCACTAAAGATGAGGTAGAGGTAACTTAGAAGGCCTAGCCCAAAATATAAAAAGGCTGAAAAATATAGCCAAAAGGAAACAAGCAGGAAAGGTAAAAATGATGAATGAGACCTTCTAAAGATTAAATCCGTGTGTTCATCAAGATCTTTTCCTAACAGGATGAAAAGAAAAAGGCATTTGGCAATTCCATGTCAGACAAAGGCATCATAACAGATGTTTAAAGACTACTACTACTACTGGGCCTCCAGAAGAAAAACACTAATAAAAAACTTAAAAATTGGGCAAAATATATGTAAAGACCTTTCAGAGAAGAAAACATCCAGATGGACAACAGACACATAAAGAAATGCTCAAGATGACTGGCAATAAGAGAGATGGAAATCTAACCACAATGAGATACCAGCTCACCCATGTAGCAGTGTCAAAGTGTAACAGAATAGCAAGCAATAAATGTTGGAGAGGATGTAGAGAAATAGGAACCCTCACACATTTTTGGTGGGATCGTAATATGGTAAATCCACTCTGGAAAGCCATTAGGCACTTCCTAAAAAAAACTGAACATAAAAATTCCATATGACCACTACTTGGAGTACACCTCAAGAAAATTAGGACTGAAACATAAATGGAGATTTATACACCAATATTCATGTTATTCATTATCACAAGAATCGGATGTCCAAATGTCCAAACACAATTGAATATATTGAGAAACTGTGGTACATTCTTACAATGGAACACTGTATAGCACTAAAGAGCAATGATATAAAAAATTATTACATAATTTGTCCTATCTTCTTTAGTGGTATACTCATGTACAAGTTCAAATTTAAGCTGAAGAAAATGGAAATGTGTCTATGAGAACAAAAATTTAATCTTGAATCTACCTAAATGTAATTAAAAAAATTTAAGAATAGATATTGAACATTAAAGATCAAAAAAGCATACACATTGTGGGATGAAATCAAGGACATCATCCATGAAGAAAGTCAAATGTCCTTAGAAAGACAGGAAAGAAAATATCAAAATAGATGCCTGAAGACTTTGAAAATTGCACTAGAATGGATAGAGGCCAACACTACGGGAAGTAATGCAGAAGTAACAGATATGAACAGATGATGACAGGAGCAGGAGAAGGGAGCAGAAATGTAGCACTGGAAGACAAAATAAAGTATAATGAATTGTGCAAAGAGCTGGAGTTAGAAAACCAAAATAGAAGAACTTGCTCAGCATTTCTCAAATTAGAAAAACTAATTCAAGCTTTTAGTTGCAATATTGAAAGATTATTGTTGTTGTTGTTTTTATTGTTGCTGATTGCCATTGAGTCAAGCATGACTCATAGTGACCCTATGAACAAAAGACCTGAAGCCTTTCTATAACTATCATCATTTTTCAAAGTTCATAAAGTTTTCAGAAGCATGTTGATGCCACTTCTGCTTCCAAACCTATCTTAACCTGGGAGCTCCACAAAACACTGTCCACCAAGAGTAATTGTTCTGGAATTTAACATTCCAATGGCACAAGGTTCAGCGTCACAGCAACCCCGGGTTACCTCAGTACAGCAAATTGGCAGAAGACTGCTGTACCACTTAGAAGCTTGTTCCTCCAAAATACAGCAATCAACTTTTAAATATAAAGACCCTCCATGATATCTTGTTGACTCTAAAAAAGAGGCTTAAAAATACATATAATATGCTGTTGTTGTTGTTATGTGCCATTGAGTCACCTGGGACCCATAGTGACACTATGTACAGCAGCTCTGAACCCTTTCTTGTCCAGAGCCAGAAACACTAATTCTGAAACACCAAACCTCATTGCCCCAGTTACTGTATCAATCCAGCTCATCCAGGTCTTCCTTTTCTGCACTGTCCCTCCACCCTTACAGGATGATTTCCTTATTCAAGGACAAGTCTTGACTGACAACATGCCCACAAGATGTGAGATAGAGCTTCAGAATTCTAGTCTCCAAGGAGAGAATTGTCTTCACCCTATCCAAGAAACACAGATTTGTTTTCCTGGCAGTTCATGGTATGTTCAGGACTCTTCTCCAGCACCACAACCTGAAGGCATTGATTCTTCTTCTATCATCCTTAGTCATTGTCCAGCTCTCTGAAGCATAACAAGCAATTGAGAAGACCATGGCCTTTTTAGGTGCACCTTTGTTTCTGGGAGTACCTCAAGGGCAGAGATCACAATTTTCAATCTCCATAGGAGGAGTTTATAGCACACTATCCCTCACATAGTGGATCTCAACTAGAGAATTAAAGAAGATAAGTTCCATAATCCAGAAACAACAAGAAAAAAATCACAAAAAAAGAAAAAAAATCACTTTGTAGCATTAAAATGCATATAGAAAAGACATGAATAATCATGAAATTATTAGAAAAACTGAACGACATATTAAAACCACAACCTAACCACTTGTCTTGGAGTCTATTCTGATTCATGATGCCCCATGTATTACAGAGAAGAACTCTACCTCACAGGATTTTCAAGGCTATGGCCTTTTAGAAGCAAATCATCAGACGTATCTTTGAATACAAGTCTACATGAGGTAGAACCACCAACCTTTCAGTTAGTAGAAGAACACTTAACCATTTATATCACTCAGGGACTCTAGTAAATGGTATACTAGCTTTTTGAATTATAAATTTCTGATATTTGAAATGTCTGCCTGGAAAATGCGTGGTAAATAAATCAAAGAAAAAAGAAATAGTTTTCTTTTCTACACAATTCCTAGAGCTCCTTTCCTGAATTCACAGATCAGAACAAAAGCATATCCATGTCTGGAATGTTCTCCTACCTGAATTAATAGGAGGAGGTAAGAAAGAATCTAATGACGGACAATATTAATACAAAAGTAATCTACAAACTGCTCCCTAGAGATGTACATAGAAATAGAAGAAAATGTAGGGATGGAGAAACAACCTATAACTCACTTTTGTATGTGGAAGTTCTTACATTGCAAAATTTAAAAAAATAAATTTTGTATACTATAAATAGCAAAATTAATTTATTTTATACTTACATAACATATAATGCATGAACCTTAAGGTCATCAGTCTTGAAAAAATTAACTAACCCAATGTAACAGATGAATAATTCCAAGTCCTTTTTCATCCAGTACTGTATTTTCCATTTTATACCTGAATTAAAAATAAACTACATTATATCTGATAAAAACATTAAATAACTCAGTGAGAGAGAAGAGCGAAATTGAATTTGCCAATATTCTTATACCACTTCCACTGGTCATTTTGATAAAATGAGAATATCTCTAGCTGGTAGCATAAATTTTTTCAACTCATTTAGTCCCATAGGCCCACAGTTTCTTTTTTTATAAAGTTTAAAAAAAAGAAATGTATTACTAGCTCATAAACTGTTTGGGAGTTTGTTGGTTTTGGTTTTTGTTTGCTTGTATATTTTATCTTGAATCTCTTATGTAGGACCAAAGAATTTCAGTTCATTCTCACTTCCAAAGAATAAAAAGAACACTATATACCAAAGTACAAGCACTTTTGAAAGGATCTTTCTGTCTGCTTTAGTAGCAAAGGCACAGTGACTCACATTTGAACTATGACACATATCTCAAAATCTTAGCACTATAATATTCTTGTGTATTGTTGAGTCAGAACTGACACAGAGCTGATGCCCCGGAGGTTTTTCAGAGGCAGTTAATTGCTTAGGAGAATGCCCATCTTTCTCGCACAGGGTGGCTGGTGGCCTCCAACTAACTGTCTTCAGATTGTAGCACAGCTTCTTTCCACTAGGCCACCAGAGCTCCCATATAATATGATAGATGTGAAATACAAATGACGAGGGAGTTCAATTTCCTATTTCATTAAAAAGTGAAAAACTGAGCTAAAATTTGACTGAAAAGCAAAATTGATGATGATGATGATGATGATGATGATGATGAAGGTATTGCTGGTTTGTCATTCAAAACACAAGTAGGATAAAAACAGACTGAGTATCATGTTAATGTCCTATAAAGCAAACTATACTTGGCATAGTAATAAACTTAAATCCTCATAAACCTTTAACTAACCAAGTAATTTTAGCTATAAAACTTAAATTCACTTATAAGTTTACCTAGTAGTCTTAAATTATACCTGAAATTAAAACCTGTTGCATCAAGTTCACACATTCCCACTCTATCCTTCATAACTAAAGAAAAAGTTAACATATCAAAGCCCAGTCCAAGGGCTTCAACTTCTCAAGTTCATTCTTAGGATACTGAACAATTAATAAATTGTAAAATTCCTTTATACTTTAAAATAATACTTCATTTACAGTCCGATAAAATAGCTATAAATTCAAAAAGAGACACAATATTAAAATTGTTAACTGGTTTTGAAATCTGAATTTATCCTATTTGTGTTTTATTTTTATTCCTAACTGCTTGCAGCATACTGATCTGTTTCTTTTTATCTAATCAGTGATGCTCAGTTTGGAGTGATGTAGCCTTCCAGGGTAGGGAACACCCGACAATATCTGGGATACGTTTTGATTGTCACAACTGGGAGAAATACTACCAGTACCCAGTGGGTAGAGGCCAAGACTAGTGTTAAAACATCCTAAAATATTCAGGACGGTTCCTCATAACCAAGAATTAACAGGTCCAAAATGACACTGCTGCTGAAGGTGATAAACCTCTATTAACCCTACTGAGCATGCTATACTTAGGGAGTCTTGTTTCTTTATATTCCTAAACTGACTCTGCCCTATTTAACTTCTCCAGTGATACTGGATATGATTTTGCTTAGATTTCCAGATGTAACATTTCTGATTACACTAACTACATACAGCATGCATTGTATTTTACAAAATTTAATTTTTGATATGATCAGATGATTGACCCTACTTTAATTGTCAATACAAAATGATGATATATGTTAAGATATGCATCCTTAACAAACTACTTCATTCACATAGTTTTTGAAAGATCACAACACTATGTGTTTGAAAATAATAATTAGTGTTTGGAACATTAAGTACTTACCTCTTTCTCTAAAAGGCAAAAAACTTACTACTGAAAAAAAAGTCTCCTCAACTGCCTGTTCAGAGCAGTTTTTATGTTTCTCACTCCAAAAACAACAATGGGAAATTGTTTGGGAAGATAAATTAGAAAAGTAGGTAGCACTGGAATTAACAGTAGCTTCAACAACTGGTTTGTAATGTCCATTTAAACTTGAGGTGTTCTCTGACATTCTTTCAGAAGATGAGAGTAAGTAATAGCTTGTGTTTGGTAGCATGCAAGACGTCTTCAATCTCCAGAAAAGAATTGGATATGGCAAATTAAGTGCAGTTACTGCATAAATTAACTCTGTTAAAATAATTTGGAAAACATGGAAATTAGTTAATCATTTTGAATAAAATGGGGAAATATCTGATGAAGTTAAATGCAGTTATTACATAAATAAACTGTTAACACCTTAAAAAGACGTAGAGACCAAAATCATTTTGGTGAAGGTATAAATGAGAATTATATTATTTTAATTATAGTCAATTCCAATTTGTAGCTGACAGTCCAGCAGTTTTTCAGAAGTTATAAATCACATAGATGAAAACTGCCCATGTCTCAACCCTGACCACATGGAGGATTCAAACATCCAGAGAGGCTCTAGCGTCACAATCCCTATGAACTGTGACCAGGGCTTTCAAATTGTACTTGGTAGTGATAGCTCACTTTCTAAGTGTTCAAATGATGCCTAAAGGATAGCTCTGGGCTTCCACTTTACAAGGTGGTGTTATACTTTAAAGAATACATTTATTTTATAGGAATAAATTCACTTTCTGATATCCCTTTCTAGAAATTATCACTTCGTTTTCCACATCAATTTAATATATTTTACATAACAATGACAATAAATTATGGTTAAATATTTTCATTTTTGAAAACAGAATTATTTTGATGAGTGAGGTGGTAAAGGACATGAGAAATATACAATGTGGAAAACAATGTATATGAACTTTGTAAATGAACCAGTATGTTGTTGTTGTTGTTATTGCTGCTGTTATGTGCCCTCCAGTTGCTTATGACTCATTGGGACCTTACATACAGTAACCCGAAACCCTGCTCTATCCCTTACCAATCTTATTATCTCTGACACACCTATCCCTATTATCCCAGTGACAGAATCAATCCATTTCATCGAGGGTCTTCCTCCCCTGAGTTTTCCCTCTACCATCCCAAGCTTGACGTCTCTCTCCAAAGACTGATCCCGCCTTGCAACATGTCCAAAGAATACCAGATGGAGCTTCAGAATCCTTGCCTCCAAAGAGCAGCCTTTCTTCACCCTCTTTAGGACAAACTTGTTCTCCTAATAGTCCATGGTATATTCAGTACTCTTCTCCAGCACCAAAGCTCAAAGGCATCAACTCTCCTTCTATTATCCCTAGTCATTTTCCAGCTCTCTGATGCATGGCAAGTAATTGCAAGGACCATGTCCTTTATCGGGTGCACTTTTGTCTTCAGACTGACATCGTTGCTCCTCAGTAATCCTTGATGAGATATCTGACAGCAGATTTTCCCAATGCAATTCATCTTTTCATTTCCTTTCTGCTGATACCAAGAGTGTTGATTGTGGAGCCAAGTAAATTGAAGCTGTAAACAAAATCAATCACTTTGACATCCATCATGATGCTGCCAGTCAGCCCAGTGGTGAGAATCTTTGTTTTCTTGATCTTGAGCTTCAATTCATATGCAGTCCTTGACCCTCCACAACAAATACTTTAGGTCCTCTTCAGTTTTATCAAACAGGGTTGTGTCATCTGCATAACACAGATTGTTGATGAGTCTACCACCATCCCTGATGCCACACTTCTCTTCATAGAGCCCAGCCTCCTGGTTAATCTGTCAGCATATAGGTTGAAAAGGTATGGAGATAGGACACATTCCTGGCATATACTCTTCCCAATTTTGAACAATGCAGTGTTCCCTTGCTCTGTTCTGAAGACTGCCTCCTGTTCCAAGTGTAGGTTTTACATTAGCAGATCAAGTAGTCTGGGATTCCCATTCTTCTCAGAATCAGCCACAATTTGTTGTGATCCACAGTCAATTGCCTTAGCATAGTCAA